TTATATATTAACCCCTTATCAAATATATCATAGGCAAATTTTTACTCCCATTCAGTAGGTTTCCTTTGCTGTGCAAAAACTTTTCAGTTCAATGTAGTCCCATTTGTTTATTTTTTCTTTTGTTTCCCTTGCCCGAGGAGATGTATCAGAAAAAAATTACTAAGAGCAATCTCAGAAAGTTTTCTGCCTATGTTTTCTTCTAGGAATTTTATGTTTTCTAGGTCTTACATTTAAGTCTTTAATCTCCTTTGAGTTTAATCCTGTATATGATGTAAGAAGGTGGTCCAGTTTCTTTTCTTCTTCTTCTTTTTTTTTGGCATGTATCTGTCCAATTTTCCCAGCACCAATTATTGAAGAGACTGTCTTTACCTTGTATATTTTCGTCTCCTTTGTCATATATTAGGTGAGCGTATAGCTATGGATTTATTTCCGGGCTCTCTATTCTGTTCCATTGATCAATGTATCTGTTTTTATGCCAGTACCATTCTGTTTTGATTACTGTAGCTTTAAATATAGTTCGATATCAGGTAGTGTGATACCTCCTACTTTGTTCTTTCTAAGATTGCTGTGGATATTTGGGGTCTTTTATGGTTCCATATAAATTATTGGTTTATTCTTTCTAGTTCTGTGAAAAATGCCATTGGTATTTTGATAGGGATTGCACTGAAACTGTGGATTGCTTTGGGTAGTATGGCCATTTTAATGATGTTAATTCTTCCTACCCAGGAGCACGGCATATACTTCCATTTGTTTGTATTGTCTTCAATTTCTTTTTTAAATGACTTATAATTTTCCAAGTATAGGTCTTTTACCTCTTTTAAATTGATTCCTAGGTATTTTATTGTAAATGAACTGTTTTCTTAATTTCTCTTTCTGATAGTTTATCATTGGTGTATAAAAACGCTACCAACTTCTGATATATTAATTTTGTATCCTGCTACTTTACTGAATTCATCGATCAGTTCTAACAATTTTTTGGTGGAAATTTAAGGTTCCCTATATATAGTATTATATCATCTGCAAATAATAAGTTTTATTTCTTCCTTTCCAAGTTAGATGCTTTTTATTTCTCTTTCTTGTCTGATTGCTGAAGCTAGGACTTTCAATACAATGTTAATTATAATATTAATACAATAAAGTGGTGAAAGTAGACATCCATGTCTTGTTCCTGATCTTAAGGATAACGCTTTTAGCTTTTCCTCGTTGAGTATGATGTTAGCTGTAGGTTTGTCATATATGGCCTTTATTAAGTTGAGGTATGTTCCCTGTATTCTCACTTTGCTGGGAGTTTTTATCATAAATGGATGCCGGATTTTGTTGAATGCTTTTTCTGCATCTATGGATATGATCATATGATTTTTATCTTTCAACTTGTTAATGTGGTGAATCACATTAATTGATTTGCAGATATTGAACTAATCTTGCATTGTGGTGTATGATATTTTTAATATATTGCTGAATTCGGTTTGCTAATACTTTGTTGAGGATTTCTGCATCAATGTTCATCAGGAATTTCAACCTATAGTTTTCTTTTTTCTTTTTTGTAATGTCCTTGTCTGGTTTTGGAATCAGGGTAATGATGGACTCGTAAAAATAATTAGGAAAATTCCCTTCTCTTGAATGTTTTGGAATAGTTTGAGAAGAACAGGTGTTAATTCTTCTTGGAAAGTTTGGTAAAATTTACCTATGAAGCCATCTGGTCCAAGACTTGTCTTTTGAGAGTTTTTTGGTTACTGATTTGATCTCGTTGGTGGTAATCGGTCGGTTCAGATTTTCTGTTTCTTCTTGATCCAGTCTTGGGAGATTGTATGTTTCTAGGAATGTATCCTTTTCTTCCAGAGCGTCAAATTTGTTGGCATATAATTGCTTGTAGTATTTTCTTACAATTTTTTTTTTGTATTTCTGTGAAGTCTATAGTTACTTCTCCTTTTTTCATTTCTGATTTTATTTATTTGGGTATTCTCTTTTTTTTTCCTTGATGAGTCTGATTAAAGGTTTATCCTTTCAAAGAATCAGCTCTCGGTTTCATAGATCTTTTGCATTGTTTTCCTAGACTTTATTGTGTTTATTTCTGCTCTGATCTTTATTATTTCTGTACTTCTACTCGCTTTGGGTTTTGTTTGCTCTTCTTTTTCTAGTTCTTTTAAGTGTAACGTTAGATAATTTATTTGAGATTTTTCTTGTTTCTCAAGATAGGCCTGTATCGCTATGAATTTCTCTCTTAGGACTGCTTTGCCTGTGTACCATAGATTTTGAGTCGTCGTGTTTTCATTTTCATTTGTCTCTAGGTATCTTTTGATTTCTTCCTTGATCTTGTCATTAACCCATTCATTGTTTAGTAGCATATTATTTAGGCTCCATATGTTTGTGTATTTTCCAGTTTTTTTCTTGTAGTTGATTTCTAGTTTCATAGCATTGTGGTCACAGAAGACGCTTGATATGATTTCAATCTTCTTAAATTTATTGAATCTTGTTTGTGGCCTAACATGTGGTCTATCCTGAAGAATGTTTCATGTGCACTTGAGAAGAATGTATATTCTGCTGCTTCGGGGTGAAATGCTCTGAAAATATCAACTAAATCCATCTCATCCAGTGTGTCATTTAAGGCTGCTGTTTCTTGTTGATTTCTGTATAGAAGATCTGTCCATTGGTGTCAGTGGGGTGCTAAAGTCTCCTACTATGAGTATATAACCATCGATCTTACCCTTTATGTCAGTCAATAATTGCTTTATGTATGTAGGTGCTCCTCTGTTGGGTGTGTATGTTTACTAGGGTTATGTCCTCTTATTGTATTGATCCCTTTATCATCATGTAATGCTCTTGTCTCTTATTATTGCTTTTGTTTTAAGGTGTATTTTGCGTGATGTAAGTATTGCTACCCCAGCTTTTCTTTCATTTTCATTTGCATTAAATATCTTTTTTCATCCCTTTATTTTCAGTCTGTGTCTTCTGATCTGAAATGAGTCTCTTGTAGACAGTATATATATGGGTTTTGTTTTCTTATCCATTCACCTACCCAATGTCTTTTGGTTGCAGCATTTAATCCATTTACATTTAAAGCGATTATGGATAGGTACATATTTATTGCCATTTTATTATTCATATTTATGTTTTTTTGTTTTCCCTCATCTTCTTCTTTAAAAAGTCCCTTTAATATTTCTTGTAATACTGGCTTGTTGGTGATGAATTTCTTTAGCTTTTTCCTGTCTGGAAAGCTCTCTATCTCACCTTCTATTTTAATCGATAGCCTTGCTGGATAGTCTATTCTTGGTTATAGATTCTTGTTTTTCATTACTTTGAATTTTCTTGCCAGTCCTTTCAGGTCTGCAAAGTTTCTGCTGAAAAATCAGCTGACATTCTTATGGGAGTTCCCTTGTAAGTAACCTGCTGCCTTTCTATTGCTGTTTTTAAGATTCTCAATTTGTCTTTTGCCTTTGGCATTTTAATTATAATATGTCCTGGTGAGGGTCTGTTTGGGTTCCTCTTGTTTGGGACTCTTTGTGCTTTCTAGATTTGTATGTCTAACTTCTTTACCAGATTACGGAAGTTTTCAGTCATTATTTCTTCAAATAGGTTCTCAATCCCTTGCTCTATCTCTTCTCTTTCTGGTAACCCTATGATGCAGATGTTGGTACACATGATGTTGTCCCAGAGGTCTCCTAAACTACCCTTATTTTTAAAAAATTCTTTTCTCTTGTTGCTGTTCAATTGGGTGTTTTCTGCTACCTTATCTTTCAACTCACTGATTCGATTTTCCGCTTCATCTAACCTACTGTTGATTCCTTCCAGTGTATTTTTCATTTCGGTTATTGTATTCTTCACTTCTGACTGGTTCTTTTTTATGGTTTCTATGTCCTTTTTTAATGCATACTATCTCTTTGTTGAAGTTCTCACTAAGATCACCTTAAGGAAAATAATTTTTTTGACCTTTTGCTTATGTCAAGGTAAAACAAAACTCCCATAATATGACTAAATGATTCTGCATAATAATATACAAGATTCATTTTATTCTGTTGTTTGAGGTGCATCTCTGTAAAGAGGCCTCTGAGAAGTCAAGTCAGGAAGACAGAGCTATTTACAACCATAATTAAAATAACTCTGCAAAAAGCTGCATAATAGAGTCTCTAATATATCACTGAATTAAATGGTATTGTAAATATATCTACATGTGTAGGTGTAATATACATACATGTAATATTTTACTAACCTTCAATCTATATTTGCTCCAACACCATTTTCTTGATGCAAGGCCAATAATTCCACCTTCAGGAAGGTTTTCATTGTTTCCCAGCCTTGTAAATGCTGTTAAACTTTTTAAGTAAACAATACCATTTATTAGAAAAAATACTCCATTCAAGGATAGGTTCACATCAGACACATTGTGTCTTTCATCATCGGTCAGAACGTTTGGAGGCACTCTGATTCTGGTCCAAGTACGAAATGAATCGTTTGTATGAAAGGTCTCCATATCGGCTACCACAACAATAGCTGAAGGTAAACAAGCAATCCAGTCTGCCATTAATTGACTACCCTGCGGTGAAGTGATTGGTAAAAATCCTGGAATCTCAGGTATTGTCAACAAAGGAAAAGTCAGCCGGAAAAGATAATCTTCAATAAAGCAATCCTGAAAAGCCACTTTATTTCCTTTAATTTCCTTTAGTGCATCATCTGCGACCAGTGGTATTGAGATACGCCAGGTCCTAAGAAGAGAAAAATAGAAAATAGAAGGATAAAATGGTCTTTTTCTCTTCTTTCAACTACCTTGCACAGTGCTGACATTTATCATCTTTATTTATTTTTACATTTATCGACATAAGTCTGGGTACAATAAATAAAATAGTATTAAAATGCTACCACTGCCTCATTCTTTATTCTTGTTCCCAACAGAAAACAATCTCGACTTTTAATGCTCTTTGCAATGTGTCTTTATACTCCCCAATAAATACTCGTATACTGCTGTCTTAGTATATAATTTTTATACATTATTTGTTGGCTTTAGATGACAGATAAAGATGTATCTCTCATATACCTACTGATACATCTTTTCTCTCAAATTGATTTCACAGCGTTTGGCTAAATCTATAATGTTTAGATTGTTATTACTATGTAAATATTGTTTACTACTGAGCCAGTTACTGTACTGTGCTTTTATATACATATCTTTTATAAATATATATACATTTATTCATTTACAGTATTTCCCCTAGAGTTAATAATTATTTTCTTTTGAAAATTTGATTAGCTTTCTACGTTTAGAAAACGTAGCTGAAATGGCGCTCCATAATATTTTCCATGTGGTAAATGCAGAGGTAACCTAGTAATAGTTTCCCAGGACTTCCTGTCATTACTCTCCCTGGGTTGAATCCACTATTTACTAGATCCAATGCTTTGATCGTTCTTGTTTTGCTAAAGCGCATTCTTCAGTAGCTCTCTGTTAAAGGGTAAATGAACATAAATTTTTTGAGACCCTGAATATGCAAAAATATCTTTAACACACTCACTTGATAATTTGGCTAGGTAGAAGCTGCAGAACTTTGAGGTCATTTTCTCCAGTCTTTTTGTATTTAGGTTTACTAATGAGAAGTCAGATGACACATTCATTCTTGTTATTATTTAAATGGGTTGCCTTTCCATATGCTTTTAGAATCTTCCCTTTTTTCCTTGATATTCTAAAATTTGACAGGGCTGGGTCTATCTTGTGAAGCGGACGCATAGAGGAATTTGTGAAAACACTGACATTTAGCTTAGAAGATACAGAAAGTTCTAAGGAGAGTTTCTTAGCAGGGCAATCCAGAGACATCAGCCTGTAGGACAGTCAGTAAATGCTCTTTTAGTTTCCAATTTCCTTAATGAATACATACTTGGGTTGGTGGTGATGGCATTCTGCCCACTCAAAATGAGGTGCTGGTGGGTCAAGAGGACCCCATGTTGGGGCAATTGTAGGGTCGTCACCAAATCTCTCTGCACTAAACCATGCCGCCATGACTCAGTTCAATCACTGCTTTTTGCGAGCCACACTACCGACTCTAACATTGGTTTCAAGGACAATTAAAAAAAAATCAGTACCATTTTGTTACGTTGTCCACTGACTGTATAATAATCTCATCTATGCAGCCACATTACAACTAAGTATTGACGACTATGTATTTTGTTTGAATGACTCATTCATCTACAAGGCCCAGGAAGGACCCAACACTCAAAGTCTGGCCAGCGCATACTGAGCTTTTCAATTTTTCATGTTTATCATTTTTGTTTTCAAACTTTTGAGTTTCTAAATTGTGACTGTACACTTTTCATGTTTTTCTTACTTGTTTTCCATTTTATAGCATCTTAATCTTCATTTACATATATAACATTTTCTATTTCTATAAAGATGCTGTTTATATCTTTTTGTGAAGTTTTTTTTTGCTCCTCACTCTGTGTTGTCTCCTCTGAGTTCCATTGTTCTTTTTATTGAGTTAGGTCTTTGACATTCACGCTGGAGGCTTTCTGTAATTGCCTGGTGGTCCTTGGTTGGCCATTAATATTTAAAAGAGAAGCAGCAACAAGCTGTGAATCAGATGTAAAGGATACATCCTTCATTCCCCTGTGCCCCACGCTGCTTCTTCCCTCCCAACTCCAAACTTAAGTTTTATTAAGTAGGTTTGATCAGTTAATCCAAAGAACAATTCTTTTCTGTCTTGCCAGGAAGATAGATGCTAGGTTTCCATATTCAGGGAGCAGGGCTGGAAGGCACGCTGGGGTGTTCCCCTCACGTTACATTTCCTTTCCGCAAGCTGTTAATTAACAGAATTTCTGTGCTCTACTAAGTTGGTTAACACTTCTATCTCTGCTTTCTATCTTTTGTTCTTGCTTTCCTTCCCGTTGTTTGTCTTCATAACTTTAAAAACGTTTCTCCCTGTTATTTTAGTGAGACTATGTAGAGAACAGAGATAAATAAATGTATTTTATCTGCCATATTTTAACTTATCTCCTTTCAATTGATTTTCATGAAGTCATGTTCTGCTCAGAAACTTCAGTGGCCCCTTAATTATACTTAGGAAAAAATTCAAACTATTCCAAATGATTTTCAAGAATTTTCCACTATTTGTTCTTATTCAACCTTACTTGCCCTATTATATTTTGGTTGTGTTCCTTCTTTTTGCCTCTTCCAAAACTCTTCGTACTCTTCCCCTCTCTCGGAGCACCCATTCTCTTTCCTTCATCTCCACTTGTCCTTCCACTTGTCCTTCAGGTCCTGCCCAAGAACCATAGCTTCGACTTCGCTTTCTTGTTTTACCACAAAATATATCTTTTATATAGATAATCTTTTCTAAAACCAGATTAGTCGATCATGTACACAGTATTTTATGGCTATCCAAGGCCATGTTTTTAAAATGGACCTCTGATATTCTCTACATATGTATATTTTCTTCATATTTTTAAAAATATCATGTATTGAATAATTTTTTTAACGTATCATATATACAAAAGACTATATGATACACATACACAATTTAAAGAATAACGCTAAAATAAACACCTGTATACTAGTCACCCAGATCAAAAATCAGAATGTTACCAATACCTTGGAAATTTACTGTACGTCCCTCCCTCCCTGCTCCCCCTCTACTTACAGGAAATCCCTGGCCTGATTGAGTGTTAGCGTTTGTGTTCACATTCCTTTGCTTTTAAAAAACAGTTTTGCCACATGTGTGTCTTACTAAACAATGAAGAATGCAAAGAGAAATAGAAAAACCCATTAGCATGGTTGCAGACATCAAAACCCCTCTATCGGTAATTGACAGACTCAGAAGGCAGAAATCAGGAAGGACATAGTCAAACCGAACAGCACTGTCGATCAGCCGTATCTAATGGACATTTAAAGAATACTTCGTCTAACAACAGCAGAATACACACTCTTCTCAAGCTCGCACGGAACATTCACCAAGAAATACCATATCCCGGGTCATAAAACACACCTTAAGGAAATTTTAAAAATAGAAATCTTACAAAGTATGCTATCAAAATACAATATAATTAAACTAGAAGTCAATAACAGAAAGTTAGCTGGAAAAATCCCATCCCCAACTATCTGGAGATTAAACAACACATTTCTGAATAACACATTAGCCAAGAAAGGAATTTTAAGTGAAATTTAAAAATAGTTCAAACTAAACGAAAATGAAAACGCAACTTGCCAAAATTTGGGGGATGACGTGAAAGAAGGTTTTAGACAGAAATTTCTAGCATTAAATGCATATTTTAGAAAAAAAGAAAGATCTAAAAATCAATTATCTAAGTTTCTACCTTAGGAAACTAGAGAAAAACAAGCAATATAAACCTAAAGAAAGAAGAAGAAGAAATAATAAAAATCAGAGGAGAAATCAATAAATTGAAAACAAAACAAAACAAAAATAGAGAAAATTGTTAGGACTGAAAGCTGGTTCTCTGAGAAGTTTAATAAAATTCATAAACTCTCCAGATGGGCTAATTTAGAAAAAAAGAGAAAGGACACAATATATTAATACCAGAAATAAAAGAAAGGCCATCACTACTGATTTCATGGACACTAAAGGATAATAAAATAATACTATGAATAATTCTATGCCCCTAAATTTGATAACTTAGATGAAATGGGTCAATCAAAAGACATAATCTATCAAAATTCACATAAGGAGAAATAATATGAATAGGGATATACCTATAAAGAAATTGGATGAATAATTAATAACCTCCAAAACACAAAGCACGAGGCCCAGATGGGTTCACTGGTGACCTGTAACATTTAAGGAGCAAATGATGTCAATCTCTAGAATCTCTTCCAGAAAGCAGAAGCAGAGGGAACACTTCCCAACTCATTTTATGAAGCCAGCATTACTCTAATACTGAAACCCGATACACACGTTACAGATGAAGCTACAGACCTTTTAAATCCAACAAAGTGTGAAAATAATTATATACTGTGACCAAATGAGACTTATTCCAGGTATTCCAGTCTGGTTCAACATTAAAAAATCAATTAATGTAATCCATCATATCAACAGGTTAAGAAAGAAAAAGAAAATAAGCATATCAATAAATGTAGAAAAAGCAGTTGACTAAAGTCAACACTCATTCACAATAAAAACTCTCAGCAAACTAGCAAAAGCGAGGGACTTACTCAACTTGATAAAGGAGCAGCTACAAAAAACATTCAAAAAACTTAATAGTGAGAAACTAGATGCTTTCCTCCAAGGACAGGAACCAGCAGCAAACGTGTCTCCTCTTGCCACTCCAATTCACCATCATACTGGGACTGCTAACTAACACGACAAGAAAATAAAATAAAAGGTAAACAAGACTGGGAAGGAAGTAATAAAAATGTTCTTTGTTTGCAGATGACATCATTATCCATGTAGAAAATCGCAAAGAACAGACAAAAAAAATCCCGAAACTAATAAGCGATTACAGCAAGGTTTTAGGATACAAGGTTAATATACAAGTCAATCGCCACACTTTAAAAACCTAGTTTATCAGGTACGTACAGACATATATACATTTGCATGTATATAATTAAACTATGTACTGTTTAATTTTCACATTTTTGCACTTTATAAAAATGGAATCATACTGTATTTTCTTCAATGACTTCCCTTTTCATTCAATAGTATGTTTGTTCATTCATGTTGATTTGTGTTCTGCGTTTGATTCATTTTTCACTGCTGTGTACTATACAGATTCTATAGTGTGATTATATCACAGAATGTTTATCCATCTGTCTATGAATAACAATTAGAATTTTGATCTTTTTTGCTATTACAAACAATGCTGTTACAAATATACTTTTACACATCTCCTGGTACCCTGTGCCTGGGTTTCGCTAGGGTGTATATTGGTATTAAAACACTAAACCATTGGTATGTGCATCTTCACCTTTGCCTGATAATGTAAAATTATCTTTTAAATTGGTTGTGCCAATTTACACGTCTACTAGCAATGTATGTAAGTGTCCCCATTGTTGCATGTTCCTATGGTTTAATTGATTGTTTCTCCCCAAAATTTATATGTTGATATCCTAATTCTCAATGTAATGGTATTAGTAGGTAAACTTTAAGGAAGGTGCTTAAGTCATGGGTAGAGTCCTAATGAATGGGGTTTATGTCCTTATAAAAGAGGCCCCCTCGCCTTTTCCACCAGTGAGAATACAACCAGAAGTCTGCCACCCAGAGGAGGGCCCTCACCCAGCCATGACGGCACCCTGATCTTAAACTTCTGGCCTCCACATCTGTGAGAAATAAATTTCTGTTGTTTATAAGCCACCCGGTTAATGGTATTTTGCTATAGCAGCTTGAAAAAAATGAGAAATTTTCACAAACAACCTTCTAAAACATTAATATATTTATCAATTTGGTAAATGTAAAATGGATCTCATTGGGCTATTAATATTTTTCTTTGATTACTAATAAGGTTGAACATCATTTCATGCATTTATTAATGAGCCGAGTTTATCAAATCTTTACCTTATCACTTCTTTACCTTTCGGTTTATTATAGAAATTATTGTCTATCCTGAGGTGATAACAATATTCTAAAACAATGTTATTTTTATTGTTATATTTTTTCTAAAAATTTTTCATTTTAACCCTTCATTCGTATGCTTTCTGAGATTATATTATTATTCATATGAGATTATTTTATATATGATATGAAGTAAAGAACAATTTCATTTTTAAGTAAAGTTTTATTGTCCTTATTAAAACGACCATGTAGTTTTATTCCTTTAATCTATTTATGTTGCAAATTACATTAAAACATTGAAAAATATTATACTAACCTTGCACTTCTGGTATAAGCCAACTTGATCACATGTCATATTTTTTTTCACATACCGCTAGACTGAGTTTGCAAAAATTTTATTTTGGATTTTCCACCTAAGTTCGCGAATGAGATTAGCTTATAATTTTCCTTTCTCACGTATTCCTTGCTTGAATTTGGGTATGCAAACTTCGTTTTGCCGTTTAGGATTAGAATTATCTTCATGCTCGTGCTCTCTTCCTTACCTCCCACACTTATAGAATCAGCAAGAATTTTAGCTCCAGATTATTATTCGTGTTTCAAAAATATTTGATCTCTCTGAATAACATCCTTTAGTCTACCCATGAATTGAATTTCATCGCATCTTTTAGAATGCACCTGCTTTCTCAGGTCTCCGTTTGAAGCTGCCTGTATATGTTGCTCCTCTGCTTGGAATGCTTCCTCAAGTTGCTAACTTTTATTTCTTGTCAATAACGTAGATATCAGCTCTTCGGGATAATCCTCTGTGATTCCCTCCAGGCCTTAGCTGGTCTGCCCTGTGTGTATTTCACTTCTCCCGCAATCGCCCCTGGCGCAACATCTGTTTGTTTTCTTGTCTCCCACACCAACTATAAGACCATTGAGGGCAGGAACTTTACCTTTTAGTTATGAGCCTAGGTGCTCAACAGGTTAAGAAAGGCTGCGTAAACCTAATGATATCCTGCTAACTTTAACAGGAACAGATTTTACTTCTCAGGTGAAATTTGTGTGTGGGGGCGGGGGGTGCGCGTGTGCGCACAGGCACTTATGGTGGTAATGATTGTGTCATCAGTCACACCACTGTGTCATACTTTTATGAACCAGCAGGAAACATTTGAAGATTTGCTACCATCTTGAATAAGGCTCTTGGATTATTAATTTGTATTAATACAAAATGTGAAACTATAAGCCAGGAGTCTGACTGGCATTTTCTGAATCGGTAACTAGTTCTCATCACAATTTTTTGTGTGTGCATCATAAAAGAAGCTACTTGGAAATTACATGTAAGATATTCATAAAATTCCCCTAGGGTTTAAAAATCTCTTTAAGTATCTGATAGTTACTTTACTGAATTATAAAAGTGAATTTTATATTTGAAATTAAAAAACTAAATACCCATTCATTTTTCCATGTGGAAAATAAGCTTTTCTCTTCAGAAATGTATATATGGCAGGCCTCTGTCCCCAACTGGCCAACTGCTTGCTAAGTACGATAGAAATCTGTTAAAAAAAAAAAAAAAAAAAAAAAAAAATCTTTTTACTCTTTTCATAGCCAAAATTATTTGAAAATTGTATCATGATATATTGAATTTATTATTTTAGTTAAGATACTATTTACATTTATAAATTTACCACATTTTCAAGATTCAGGTTTGTTTTTTTTCCTACCATTTGGCCTTCTCCCCATTGAAACTTTATGAATTTTACATAAGTCATAATATAATTTCTAACATGTAGAAAATACCATGCACAATCAGAATCTTGAATAAACTGAGACTATGAGGACCCTTAAATAAATACCCTTAGTTTACTATCAATGAACTACATATGGGGTTTCTAAAACTAATCTGTTAGAATTATTTCTATATAAGCCTGCCTTCAGAATAATATACTCTTGCAAGGCAGGTTTCAAATGATATCTTGAAGCTTTAACAAAAAAAATCTCATGAGATTTAAGAAGTCGAATTGACAGGAATTATCCCTCAGAAGGTATTTTCAGGACAGAGACAATAGTTTCATTATGGGGAATCCCTAGAATTAAAAAAATCAGATGAAGACCAGTCTACAATTTTATAGCTCTGTTCTGCCCTAATCATCCAATAGTGCTCCTTATTAATTTCCTAGAAATATGCCAGCCATCCACAAAGGAGCCTTCGAGATGCCTATGATGAGTGTCAGTAAGGGCGAGACTATAGGACCACAGAGAAATTATCAAAAATATAAAAAATGCATTCAGGGTATTTTCTTAGGATTTACCAAATGTAGGCTACTGTTACATTCATATTATATAACCAGAAGTCTATATACATATGATTTTTAATGACAGCATGAGTGAATTATCATTATTGGCTTAACAATGCCCTATTGGACATTTAGGTAGTTTTATTGTTTCAACATTATAAATATTATTGCCATGGACATCTTCAGCTGTACAGTCGTTTCCACAGTTAAGACTATTTCCCTTTGGATTATATTCTTGGAAGTGTGTTTAGAGGTAAAAAGTTACGAATACTTTAAAAATTCTTAATACGTATTACCAAAATGATTTCTAAAATGAATCATTATTAAACAATTTACTTTATTACTATAACAGAATAAATTTCACTATGCTAGTGCCAAACTTTATATTATTATTTCTAAAGGTATTTTTCTAGTTGTGACATCAATATATGGTTGCACATGTTGTTAAATTTAATAAACACCTTTCTGTTTATCTTACCTGATTTTTTAGCAGCATTTGATAAATTGGACTAATCTCCCCTTTTGAAAGATGTTCTTACCTGACTTCCATGTTACCACCCTCCCTGCTCTTTTAGACACCCCCAGAGCTTGGTCCTAGACTCTCTTTGCCTAGTGTTCTTCTCACAGTACAAGCTCTTCCTTGGGTAATTTCATTCAATCACATGGATCCAAGTATCATCCAATTCCTATACAACTCCTCCAATTGTATCATCTAGACACAAAATTTTATATCTAATTCAAAATCATGTATTTAATTAGATTCTTAACCTTGATTCTGGTAGTCTTAATAGCACTTCAAACCAATATGCCCAAAACTGAACTGGTGCCTTACGGTTCTGCCTCCCAAACTTATATTTAGAAAATATTTGTTGAATGAATAAAGAAGAAGAAAAAAAAATCTCACAATCCAGAGGAGCGTCTAGCTCTCTCACAATGCTGCTGTGAGAGGAGCATTTCAGACAGAATGAACAACAGTTACAAAGGCCCTGAGGTGGGAGAGGATCATTATGACTGAGAAAGTGGAAAAAAAAAAAAAAAGATAATGGCTAGATCGGAGTGAGTAAGGGGGAGACTAACAGGAAAAAGCTAGAGAAATATAGTCCAGGGCCACATCATGCTAAGCACTGTAGGTCTTGGGAAATAGTTTAGACTTTATTCTTGGTACACTGGGCAAATGTTGAAGGAATTTTAAAATATAATTTAAACCATTTCATTTTGAAATAGTTTGACTCATAGGAAAAGTGAGTCAGCTTTCCCCCATGACAATAGCTTACATAATCTTAGCGCATTGTCAAAACCTGGAATTGATGTTGTGCAACACTAATAACGTTATTAAGATTTCACCTTTTTTTATAGGCACTTTTTTTTTTTGTATAGCTCTATAAAATTTTATCACGCGTGTAGAATCACGTAACCACCACCATAATGATGATATAGAACTATTCCATCACCAAGGAGAAACTCTTTCATGTTACTCCTTAAGAGTCCAAAGCGCCTGTTAACCCTAACTTCTGGCAACCACTTAACTGCTTTCAATGACTAAAATCTTGTCATCGTCGAAATGTTATACAAATGTAATCATATGGTATTTAACACCTTAAAATTGGCATTTTAACTCAGCATCCATCTATGTTGCTGGCTGTATTAATAGTTCATTCCTTAAATGTAAGAACTAAAACTACAAAATACTTAGAAGAAAACAGGGGAAAAACTTCACGACATTTGATAGCAATGATTTCTTAGATGTGACTCCAAAGGCATAGGCAACAGAAGGGAAAATAGACAAATTGAGCTTGATCAAAATTAAGAACTTTGGTGCATCAAATTGCAAATTATATATATGATAAGGGATTCATATACAGAATATGGGGAGATCCCCTAAAATTCAACAATAACAAAAACAACCCAATTAAACACTAGGCAAAGAACTTGAGTCACAATTATCCAGAGAAGAATAAACAAGGCAAAGAACTTGAGTCACAATTATCCAGAGAAGATTAAACAAATAAGCACACGAAAAGATGCTCAGCATTACTAATCATTAGAAAAATGCAGATCAGAACCATGAGGAACCAACCACTTTACACCCATCAGAATGATTATTAAGCAAACGAACAAACAAACATATGGTTTACTGGAGAATTTTACTAAACATTTAAAGAAGAGTTAATGCCAATCCTTCTCAAAATCTTCCAAAAAATTGGATTGAAGGAACACTCCTAAACACATTTTGTGACGCCAGCCTTACCCTGATACCAATGCCAGAAAAGGATACTACCAGTAACAAAAACGACTGACCAATATGATGAGAAAAGATGCAAAAATTTTCAACAACATACTAGCAAACCAACAGCACATTAAAAGGATCATACATGATCATCGAATGGCATTTATCCCTAGGATGCAAGTGTGGTCCTACATACACAAATCAATAAATGAGATACATGACATTAACAGAAGGAAAGACAAAAATCATATGATCATCTCAACAGATGCAGTAAAAGCATTTGACAAACTTTAAAATTTATTTATAATAAAAACTCTTCACAAATTAAGAATAGAAGCAATACACCTCATCGTAATAGAGGCCATATATGACACACTCATAGCTAACCTCATACTCAATAGTGAAGGATGAAAGCTTTTCCTCTAAGATCAGGAACGAGACAAGGGTGCCCACTCTCAATGCACCTATTCAACATAGTACTGAAGGTTCTAAGAGCAATCAGACAAGGAAAAAAAATGACATATGATTTGGAAAGAAAGAGTAAAATTCTATTTGCTGATGAAGATGACATGATTTTACATACGGAAAATCCTAAAGATTCCAACCAAAAATCTGTTAGCGACAAATTCAGTAAAGCTGCCGGGTACAAAATTAACATAAAAAATTCGGCAGTGTCTCTATACACCAACCACGAGTTATCTGAAGAAGAAAATAATTCCATTCACAATAGCATCAAAAACATTAAAATACTCAGGAATAAACTTAATCAAGGAGGTGAAATATCTCTACGCTAAAGACTACATTGATATAAGAAATTGAGGAAGACACAAATGAATGGAAGGATATACTGTGTTCATGGATTAGAAAAATTAATGTTGTTCAAATGTCAATATTACCAAAAAAAGCCAACTATAGTTTTAATGTAATCCTTATCAGTATTCCAATGACATTTTTTTTTTTTTACAGAAGTAGAAAAAAGAAATCTAAAATTTATATGAAACCACAAATGACTTCAGACAGCCAAAGAAATCCCGAGAAGAACAAAGAGAGAGGCATCAGTCTTTCTGATTCCAAGCTATGCTGTAAAGCTACAGGGATCAATACAGTTTGGTATTGGCATAAAAACAGACAAATAGGTCATTGGAACAGAACTGAGAGCCCCAAAATAAAGCCAAGCATATATGGTCAACTAATATTTGACAAGAGAGCCAAGAATACTCAATGGAGAAAAGGCAATCTCTACAACAAATGATGTTGAGAAAATGGGATAGTCACATGTAAAAGAATGAAACTAGACCCATATCTTACGCCACCCACAAAAATGAATTAAAGACTTAAATGTTAAGACCCGAAACCATCAAACTCCTAGAAGAAAACATGGAAAAAATCTCCTTGACATTGGTCTTAGCAATAATACTTTGGATATGATACCTAAAGCAATAGCAATAAAATAAAACATAAGTGGGACTGCATGAAATTAAAGAGTTTCTGCATAGCAAAAACAAAGAACCAACAAAATGAAAAGACAACTTATGAAATGGGAAAAATATTTGCAAGCATATATCTGATTATATACAAAATATATAAAGAACTCATACAACTTAATAGCAAAAACCACAAACAATCCAATTTAAAAATGGGCAAAGAACCTGAATAGATATTTTTTCCAAAGAAGATTATACGAATGGCCAACAGGTACATGAAAAGATGCTCAATATCATGAGTCACTAGGGAAACACAATCAAAACCACAATGAAGTAATAATATCTCATGTATGTGAGAATGACCATCATCGAAGACAAGAAATAACTGCTGGAGAGGTTGTGAAGAAAAGGGAACCCTTGTGCACTGTTGGTGGAGTTGTAAAGTAATACAGCCACTGTGGAGAATCCTAATAAAATATAGAACTGCCATATAATCCAGCCATTCCATTACTGGGAACATATCCAAAGAAAATGAAAACACTAACTTGAAAAGATACGTACGCTCCATGTTCCCAGCAGTATTATTTACAACAGCCAAGACATGGAAACAACCTAAGCGTCCACTGACAAATGAAGAGATAAAGAAGTTGTGGTATATAAAAAAGTGGAATATCAACCAGCCATAAAAATATAATAATAGAAGAAAAAAAATCCTGCCATTTGTGACAATATGGATGGACCTTGAGGGCATTACGCTAAGTGAAATAAGTCAGACAGAGGAAGACAAATATTGGATAATCTCACTTATATAAGGAATCTAAACAAAAACAAGAAGAAAAACATACCTAATCCACAGGAAAAGAGACCAGACTTGTGGTTACCGGAAGTGGGAGGTGGTGGGCGGCAGGATTGAAGGAAGGTAGTCAGGAAAGGTGCAAACTTCTAGTTACAAGGTACATAAGCACTAGGGATGTAACGCACGACACAGCGCTTATAGTTAACAGTGCTGCATGATAAACACAAACGTTGTTAAGAGAGTAAATCCTAGATTCTTATCACAGGGAGAAAAATATTTTTCCTTTTTTCTTTTTATTGTATCCATGTGAGATGATGGATGTTAACGAAACTTATTGCGGTCATTATTTCGCAGTATATTAAGCCAAATCATTTGCTATACTAGAGTTATACAGTAAGTATATGTCAATTGTATCTCAATAAAAGTGGGGAAAAAATTTTAAAAAGAGGAGTGACACCAGAAAGATGGCTGACTAGAAAGTCCTCCCACAAACACAACAATTTAACAATGGTCCATTGACAAAAACAGCTCTGCGAGAGCTCCAGGAGACAGCTAAGCTGTAGTGACCCAGTGGAGCACGAAACTGAGGCTGGCAAACAGAAAGCATCGTACCTGTGTTACTCTAAGCCCCAGGCCAGCACAGCTCTGTGCCAAGAGAAATTCCCTTGGTTACAACTTCGGATGAGGGGAAAGAAGAGCAAGGGGACCCCACCCAGCAGCCCTGGCTGCCGCCATGGACCTCGATAGCCATCTCTGTGAAGACCCCCACAGTCTTTACCAATGAGGATCTACACACCTCACTGGTAAAGGTAACAATGGAGACAAAACCAGAACAATCTGACACTGTAATGATGGCGTATCAATTACTTTTAACCCTCATATAAAAAAGTTAAAAGAGAAACATTTGTTAATAAATGCGTGAAATAAAAATAAGTAAACACCAACTATAAGAACACACAGGGAGGCAGCAAAAGTATAGGGTTTTTACATGTGATTTAAATTAAGTTGCTATCAACTTAAAATAGTTTAACAAGATATCTTATGCAAGCTTCAAGGTAATTGCAAGGAAGAAATCTATAACAGATATACAAAAGATTTAAAGAAAAGAATCAAAGCAAAGGACTATAAAAAAAAATAATCAAACAGCAAAAGAAAATAGCGAGAGGAAGAGAGGAAAAACAGCGTAAGTCAGAGAGAAAACAATCAAGAAAACATCAACATTAAGTCCTCACCTATAAATGGATTAAACCTTGCATAGAATAGCTGGATGTATTACAAAAAACAAGATCTAGCAATGTGCTGTCTACCAGACACCCACTTTAGATTTAAAGACACACATACACTGGAAGTGAAGGAATGGAAAAGATATTCCATTCAAATGGTAACTAAAAGAAAGCAGTAGTGATTATACTTATATCACAAGAAATAGACTTTAAATCTTGTCTCTAAAGACAGGAAGGTCATTATATGTTGATAAAAGGGTTAATTCAACAGGACAGTATAACAATTATAAATGTATATGCACCCCAAATCAGAGCACCTAAATATTTAAAGCAAATATTGACAGATTAGAAGGGAGATATTGACAGCAATATAACAGTAGGAGTTTTCACTATTGCACTTACAATAAGGGATAGAACATCCAGAGAGAAAAATGACAAAAAACAGATGACTTAAACAATGTTATAGTCCAAATGGACCTAAATGACATATACAGAACTTTCCACCCAACAGCAGAAAAACACACATTTTTCTCAAGAGCATATTCTCCATGAGAGATCACATGTTAGGTCATAAAATGAGTCTTACAAATTTAAGAAGATTAAAAGCATTCCAAGTATAAATAACTCAAACAACTCAACAGTAAGAAACCGATTTGATTAAAAAATGTGCAAAGGACCTGAATAGACATTTCTCTAAAGAAGACATACGGATGGCCAACAAATACATGAAAAGGTGCTCAACATCACCAATCATCAGGGAAATTCAAATCAAAATCATGAGATATCATCTCATATCTTCCAAGTATAAATAACTCAAACAACTCAACAGTAAAAAAACGATTGGATTAAAAAAATGAGCAAAGGACCTGAATAGACATTTCTCCAAAGAAGACATACAGATGGCCAACAAGTACGTGAAAAGGTGCTCAACATCACCAATCATCAGGGAAATTCAAATCAAAATCATAATGAGATATCATCTCATATGTGTTGAAATGGCTGTCATCAAAAAGATAAAAGATAAGTGTTGGCAAGAATGTGGAGAAAAGGGAACTCTCGTGCACTCTTGGCGGGAATGTAAATTGATACAGCTATTATGAAAAACAGTATGGAAGTTTCTGAAAAAATTAAAAATACCACGTGATTCAGCAATCCCACTTCTGGGTATATATTCAAAGAAAACGAAGTTCGTATTTTGAAGAGATATGGCACTGTCATATTTAGCACAGCATCATTCACAATAGGCAAGATATAGAAACAACCTAAGTGTTCATTCAATGGATGACTAAAAAGCCAGACTCAGAAACAGAGAGCAGAATGGTGGTTCCAAGAGTCTGAGATGCGGACACGTCAGTCAAAGGTATAACTTGAGCACCTTATGCTAAATAAGTCAGAGAAAGTCAAACACTGTATGATCGCACTTTCATGTGGATTCTAAAAAGCCAGACTCAGAAACAGAGAGCAGAATGGCGGTTCCAAGAGTCTGAGGGGGTCGGTGAGATGGGGACACGTCAGTCAAAGGTGCAAACGAAATACTTGAAAGTTGCTAAGAAGGTAAATTTCTAATGATCTTATCTCAAAAAGGAAATGATAATTATGTGAGGTGATGGAGGTGTTAAAAATGTGACTGTGGTAATCATTTCACGATGCGCAAGTGTATCAAATTAACATGTGTACATCTTAAACTTACACAACATTATATATCATTTCTAGGTCAATAAAGCTGGATAAAAGGGAAACCAACACTCACTCAAA